ATGAAATAACATTAGAGCAGAGAGATGATAATGTAGAATCTTTAACTCATGAATGGAAAACTTAACTAAGTTTGTGTTTGGTTCAAGCGAAAACACTATAAACTGTATAGTAATTTAAATGGAAATCAGGTTTCAAATTTCAATTTTCTTTTATGGTTCTTTTTTAGAAAGTAAGAGTGGAAAGAATGGGGAAATGGAAAGGAGGAGAGGAGGGAATATGGAGGAAATCACGTCATTCCTTCCTCACAAAAGAAATATATATTCCATGTTGATGAAATTTATAGTTTAAACGACTCATTTGCCAAATAAAAGGGAATCAGATATTCTGTTGTAACTTGTAAGCATTTATTACTCTTAATATGAGCATATATGCGTATGCTGCTTGTGTTAATCTCTGATAATCCTTTTTTTTTTGTTTACGTCTATTGGGAGTAATAAAAATCCCTATTTTCTCAGAATTGCAAAGGTTTCTTAGATTTGATAAATTGCTTACACCTACCTATATGGTAAATTTATTGTAATGATATTTAAATGTATGTTTTGAGTTTTTGTTGATGATGGCTCCTTTTGTTTTACTGACTTAATGAAAAATTAAAGGCTTAATACCCGACTTTGATACAGTTATTTTGGCAAGATAATTAACCTTTTTATTGCACTGGTCAGGCATTTTTTTTTCAATTATGCTGTTGGTATTTTTGATGAAAAATACTTAAGACACCAATTTTATTTTTTTATTTTTTATTTTATAATATTCCACTAAGATTGTTAATTTTTCTTGTGGCAGGAAAAAAAATATTTTCAAATTAGCTCAAGGAGAGTACATAGCACCTGAGAAAATTGAGAACGTATATGCCAAGTGCAGATTTGTAGCACAGTGCTTTGTATATGGTATGATTATACAAGGCAGCGGTTCTTTTAACCACACTGTTATATTTTATTATTCTTATGCTTGACATTTTCACAGGTGACAGCTTAAATTCCTCATTGGTAGCAGTTGTTGCTGTCGAGCCAGATGCATTAAAGGATTGGGCTTCAGGGGAGGGCATCAAGGTAGTTTACTAGTTTGTAATATTATTGTAGTTCCTCACATATTGCAATGCAAAGTTAGTGTTCATAAAACATGTTTGCTTGACACCTAATTATTTTAAATCATCATATTGTGCTGGGCTGTAAACTTAACTTCATCATGATCGTTATGTTCTTTTGGCGTCAATGACATAAGGGGTATTTTGATTCCTGGATCTGAGTAGCCATTGTTGATTTGAGGTGATGTAAAAGAGTTAGACTAGTGTTAAGAATTTTAGAGTATATTATATGGATACCTGTCCAGGAGGTTACATAGGAGCTCCTGTTTGTATCCAGGCTCTCTTAGAATTAGAAGAATGGGAAAAGTACCAAATTACTCAAATTTGTTGGTTTGTTATTATAAGCAAATTGTACATTTGTACTTGCACAAGATTGGTGAATTGTATACTTGCACCATCTTTTATTTTATCAATATGCTTTCTCTAGGTCCATAAAGTGCTGTGGATCGTGTTTTTTTGTTGATATGTACGGCAGACAATACTAGTTTATATCTGTTAATGGTAATTTGAATTGCATGGATGCAGTATGAAGATCTAGGACAGCTCTGTAGACATCCAAGAGCGAAGGCTGCAGTTCTTGCTGATATGGATGCTTTGGGAAGAGAGGCCGGGGTAAGTACTTCCATGGACTCCTGGTTTATTTTATTCCAACTGGCAGTTTGACCCTTTTCTAACTTCTCTTGATGGCTTTCAGTTGAGAGGGTTTGAATTCGTGAAAGCTGTGACCTTGGTACCGGAACCATTTACTGTCGAAAATGGTCTTCTCACTCCAACGCTAAAGGTTATTTTCTTCTCTCCCTCTTTCACGTGTTTACTACTGTAAAAAGTAGGAGTCTTTTCACATGTTCTGATTGTCGTTCTGAGTTTTGAGATCTACTCCTACATATTAAGGGAGTGATAATGTGCCAAACTGAGCTTGAGCTTGAGCTTGTCTGGCTCTTAACTTCCTGGTTTCATTCAGTGCATTACCCAACTTTATCAGCTTGAATAACTTGAGCTTTAGTTACAAGGTCCAACTAGGAAACTACATTATCAAGTTGCAGACCTTGCCTTGTTTAAATTCCTGACTCTTTGATAATGGGTCTTTAATTATTTGTTAAATCTATATATCAACTTAATATAACTTTTACCTGTTAATAACTAAAGATAATAAACGGTTGAAATTATGCATTGGAAAGCATGAATTTAGAAGTGTAGTATCTAAAACTAGACTGAGGAAGTACATATATTCTTGCCTGCTCATGAGCTATGGTTCATTTAACATAGGTGATCAACTATGGCCCGGTCCGGAAAATTGGACGGGTTTGGCAAGCCTAAAAACACAGTTTTAGTTTAAAACTGAACCCGGCCTGAAAAGCCCACTTTGGCCTGACAAGCCCGGTGCTTTTTTTTTTTTTTTTTTGCTGGTTTGGGCATGCGATTTCATACTGAGTCCCGGCCTGACCTGAATTTTGATCACCTGATTCAAGCTTAGTATGACTCATCTTTAAAGTTAAGCTCACTCAAACCGAGAGCTGAACTTTAGTAGATCACATTCAAATTATGCTCATTACAGTGTGCCCCCATAACCACCCATACATATAATGCTGAGTGAGTTCTTCACTTGTCTAACAAAGTTCATATCCTTCTCAAACTTTGACAGGTAAAGAGGCCTCAAGCTAAGGTTTACTTTGAGAAAGAAATAGGAGAAATGTACGCTCTACTTTCGAAAGCTGACCCAACGCAGAGCAAATTGTGATGAAATTTGGTCCGTGAAATAAGTTTAAGGTAACAGTCCATTGGGAATAACTCGAGGCCAACATCCTGTCATTTGTCAAGTGATAACGAGGAAGATTTGCTTGTAATCTCCCTGATTCTGCCAGTATTAGTATTTGTGTCAACCTAGCAGGATTATTAATTTATTTATTTATTATTTTGGGGATCATTTTCGCTCTAAAAATAGAAAATAAAAAAATGTCTACATATATATTTAGTATATTAGCAGGTTTTTGGAAGTGGCTTATTGTGCCTGCTATTTGTAATTTTGTATTACTCCGTAGCTTGCTATATGATGCACGCCTGCTGTGATACGATGCATGTTGTAACATTCTGTTAGAATAAACTGTACATGATTATACGTATTGAAGATTACATTACATGCCGTCTTATGTTGTAATTAGAATTAAAGACCATGTGTTGCACGGATCTTACTTAATACGAAGTACAATTAAAAAATATTAATCGACTAACATGATTTCCAAGATATTTGTAAAGTATTTTATTATCCTAGTCACCTGTTTTTGTTAATTTTTTTTGTCGTGTTTCATATTCTGTCTTTTATACTATATTTTTTGATTTATAGATCACTTAGATCAGAGGTTGCAAGGCTAAAGTAATTGGGGAAAAATAGTGCTTTTTTGGTAAATAAAAATTGGGAAAAAATTAGTGTTTGCAAAAGCTTTAGGAGAAATATATGGTTTATGGGTTTTTCATCATAAGTAGCTCATTTCTTTTTTTTTTTTTTTCAATTTTTTTTTCCTTCATGTTGTGTTAAACTTAGGCTACGTATGTTGCATAATCAACATGTGAATGAAATTATAAGGAAACTAGGACGTTGATGCCCTGGGTTCGCTCTGCAATATATATCCTTATGTTTTAAAAATCTTTACATTAATTGGCTGCTTATAAAATAATTATAAAGTAATAATTATTTTCTAAAAGGCATTATCACTAATGTCTAAATCTATCCATATTTGATACATTTGTTACTTTAACTGTTCACAATCGTATGAGTTATTTAATTTACGGTTTCATTGACATTTAAAAATTTGAGTACTCCTACACTTTATTCAAACATCTTAGTTCGAAAAGTAAGTCTACAGCTCCTAGGCTTTTAGGAATTTTTTTTTTGAAAGAAGATTCCCTATTTGGAATTTTAATTCTAGTGGCGATGCTCGATCGGTTTGTTTATTGAATTTTAAAATAAAATTGTTATCTTTATGTTAAATTTTAAAACATATCATTGGTAAAAACATTATTATGTATGAGGTGTATATCTCGGCCTTTTATTTTTGGATAAAATAAATTTTTTATCTAAATACTAAATTTTAAAACATATCATTGGTACAAACATTGTTATGTAAGAGGTGTATATCCCTTTGGATTTTGGATATATTGACGTAAGATACCATTGATTTTGTAAGAGCGCAATATATATTATAGAAATATACACTATATATTTGAGAAATATTTATGTATTCGAATTTTCTATTCATGGATTAATAATCACTTGACAATCATACTTGTAAAATGAAAAAATATAGTATTGCCGCTCATAAAGTTTTATGGTGTATCAAGTATGATTGTGATACTATATTTTATGTGTATAATAAAGTAAAAAAAAATAGAAATTATTGAGCGTCAAACAGTGCGTTGTAAGTGTTATTGTGCTTGCAGAAATTGAAGAGCTCTTTCCCAAATTAAAGTCAAGAAGAACCGCAATTCCAAAATTGCAGCCAAAGTTTTAAGAATTCCCAAAGTACCGTCCACGTCATCGGTTCAGGGGGAAGAAATTTTAAATCCGGTCTACAGCAAAACCGCTACCTGAAGTAACCACTACCTGAAGTAGCGGTTTTTACTAATAAACCGCTACTTCAGGTAGCGGTTTTCTTTTTAATAAACCGCTACTTCAAGTAGCGGTTTTTGTTTAATAAACCGCTACTTCAAGTAGCGGTTTTTGTTTAATAAACCGCTACTTCAAGTAGCGGTTTCTAGCAGGTATAATTTCCTGATTTCACTTTCCTCTTTCATTTTCGTCTTCTCACCAAAATCCCATCCACGCCTTCCACCAAAATCACACCTCCTTCAACGGAAGCCGGCGCAGCCAAGGAATCCACCGACGCCGCCGGAGCATTCCTCAGCAACGAAGGCCGCCGCTTGACGCCGAGGGTTCGACTTTAGTGGTCGGCTTCGCTAATTTCAGAAGAAACGTGCTGATCTTCTTGTTTGTGGTAAGTGCCCTAATTATTTTTTGTATTCAGTTATTGGGTTTGTTGTTGTTATTGAGTTTCAGAATTGTATGTATGTGTTGTTGTTGTTGGTTTTGGTTGTGTTGTTGTTGTTAGTGTTCTTGTTTATTGTTGTTGTTATTGAGTTTCGGTTGGTTGTGTTGTTGTTGTTAGTGTTCTTGTTTATTGTTGTTGTTATTGAGTTTCGGTTTTGGTTGTGTTGTTGTTGTTAGTGTTCTTGTTTATTGTTGTTGTTATTGAGTTTCAGAATTGTATGTATGTTTGTGGTTGGTTTTGGTTGTTGTTGTTGATTTACTTACCTTACATATAACCCTTGTAGAATTATTAATGGTTTCGATCACATTACTCAGTTTAGGTTGCTATAATTGCTGATTTTGAAAGTGAAAATAGAGCTTCTATACACAAAGTACATGAGCTCAAAGTACATGTAGTCATGACTTATGCCCATGTTGAGCTTCAAGAGGTATTAAGACCTTCATAGCTCAGTTTAGGTTGCTATAATTGTGTAGTTTGCTTGCTTGATGTTAGGACATTGCCACACTGTTAATGAATTTTTGCAATCTAATATCTTTGATTAATAATGGTCTTTTCTAGAATGAAACATGGAGGTTCCGAACTACCCTCTATATTGCTATTGGGGTGGAGAAATTGTCCACAAAGATAGCGATATAACGTATAGGGGTGGGAATCAAAAATTTGAGTTTGTACATTCTGCGATGACATATTCACAAGTTCTGAACAAGCTATATGAAGAATTGAGTGTTGATCCTAGAGGTGTGGAGTTGAAGGTGGTTATGCGTTATCCTATGGCTGGGGCATATGTTGCAATTCCGTTAAATGACGACAACGCTGTTAGAGCTATGTGGATTGCTGTGACTCAGAGTTCTTCTGTTGCAATGCAATTGTTCATTGAACAAGTTCCAAAGGAGCCAGTTGTGCAAACTAACACTGGTTCCTTTCCGGGGATGGATTTTTTTGGTAGTGTGGATCAACCGTTTTCCACTGGTGTTCAAAGTGTGGGCATAGGGTCATTCACAAGAATGCTTGTTGATCCACATTATGTCAATGACCATCTCTCACAGTTTAGGTCTCCGGCCTCATCGCCTAATGTTGGAACCTCGACAAGCACACAACCACAAGGCATTCTTGATTCTCTTGACCCAAACAATGTTGATGTATTTGGCGATGCAGAGATGAATGACACTGATGAGATGATGATGAAGAGGTAATTGAAGCTCGTGATAAGGCAATTAAAGGAAGCGCCCCCACTTCAGACTTCAATGAAGTGGCGCAAGTTGATCCTCGTTTGAATAACTCATGGATGTCTTTGTTAGGAAATGAGACATATAACAATGGGGAGAATTTGAGGTTGGTCAGCAGTTTGACTCATTGCAACAACTGAAAGATGCTGTGAAATCTTACTCCATAGCTAGAAATCAAACAATTCGAGTTGTGGAGGCAGAGCCAGAGAAATATGTTGTTGAGTGCAAGAGGAAAGAACAATGTAGTTGTTCGTGGAGGCTTAGAGGAGTGAAAGATCCAACACTCTCTACGTTTAAAATTGTGAGGTACAACGGCCCTCATGCAAGTAACTGTGTTGGTGACATCGACTCGGGAGATCATAAGCTACTGACTTCCGAGTTCGTTTGCAATGCTCTTCTAGATGTCATTCGCGTTGATCCTTCATTGAAAATCAAGACAATGGTGCAACTTGTGAAAGAGAAATTTGATGGATTCCAAATAACCTACAAGAGAGCATGGCTAGCGAAACAAAAGGCAATAAAACTCATTTATGGGGATTGGGAGGGTTCATATGAACAGTTGCCTAAGTACATGCAAGCTCTCAAGGAATCAAATCCTGGAACTGTTGTTGAGTGGAGGTTGTTAGAGTGTACGGTTCCTGGAACACATGTTTTTCAACGAGTCTTTTTGGGCATTCAAGCCATGTATTGATGGATTCCGTCACTGCAGACCCCTTATCACCATTGATGGCACTCATTTATATGGAAAATACAAAGGCACTCTACTCATTGCTATGGGAACGAATGCCAATTTTCAACTATTCCCCCTTGCTTTTGCGGTTGTCGAAGGAGAGAACAATGATATTTGGTCTTGGTTCATGGCTTGTATTCGTGCTCGAGTTACAGATAGGAAAGGGCTATGTGTGATATCTGATAGACATGCTGGTATTTTTAGCAGCAATGGAAGAAGTTGGAAGTGGTTGGGAGGAGCCCAATGCCTACCACAAGTACTGTACACGACACTTGGCTTCTAATGTGAACTCAAAATTTAAAAGTGTCGTCATAAAGAACCTCTTTGGCAAAGCAGCTACTGCAAGGCAGAAGAAGAAGTTTGATTACTACATCAACAAAATTGGTGACTTGAATGTAGAGGCCCGTAGGTACTTGATGGAAATTCCGTACAGTAAGTGGTCCATTCATCATGATGGTGGTTTCAGGTTTGGTGTGAAGACTACAAACATGTCGGAAGTTTTCAACGGAGTCTTAAAGGGGGCTCGATGTCTCCCGATAACCGCTTTAGTGCAAATGACCTTTTTCCGGTACAATGTTTGCTTCAAGTTCATGTTCTTACAATTCTATCTTTCAAGAATTATTATTAACATGTCTTTACAGGTGGTTACGTGTCCATCTATCGTGTGCGCATACTGCTTCTGGACTACCATACTACAGAGATGCGTTTGACCATCAGCGCGAGGACCAGGTACAATCGGTGTTTCTTTTTTTTTATGCATTGTATTTCTTCCATTATGTTAGTCATATACATGTTGACATACTTGTTTTGGGAATTAGATGATTTGGCAGCCATATACTGAGGCGGGTGATGGATCGACTTCCGGAGATTTGTCGCTCAGACATGCACATTTGGCGTTCACGGGCACCTCTGATATGCTTTGACGTCGTTGAGTTCCACCTCCCAGACCGAGTCCTTCGTCAGTTCGGGTTAGACCAGCCGATCCCACAGGATGTAGACACGGACGTTGCTCTACACAGGAAGGATCGAAGGGGACAGCGTAACTGGGAGATTCGGCATTCGGACCATGTACACGAGTGGAGTCGACGAGAGGCATTAGTCGTCCAGGGATACCCGTTCACTGGGACTTCTTCCCCGGCCATGACAGAGTACATGGCTTGGTACCTTCGCATCACGAGACTGGTCATTACTCCACCTTCGCAGGAGCGCCCCCCGAGTCATTACCAGCCAGCTACCTCTGACCTCCTGCTTGTATGAACTTCACTTCATTTCAATCTAGTTCTTACGTTTTTGATTTCATTTTACTAACATTAAAACTACACTTAAATGTAGGCACATGCATTTGCTGATTTGCACGTCCAGCTATCGGGAGCTACTAAGACCATCTCCCACTTGCCACCAGAGACGGCTATACCATTTGCCATACAGACGATGCAGGGTTTTACATCATTTTGTGGCCAAACCTTGTCTAGGGTGGGGCAGTCACACCTTATTCAGCAGCCTCGACCGTCCACATCTTCATCTTCTACTGTGCACACTATGCCGATCAGACCACCACCTCATCGTGGAGGCCATTCAGCACGTGCCTTCCGTCCACCGACTCCTTCTCAGCATACTATCATGACATCTCCTCCACTAGTGCATCGCCAGTATCAGAGAAACCGACGGCGTAGCAACACTACGTCTGGGGTTGGAGTTGGCCTGGATGACATTCCAGAGGAGACAGCTGCATCATCTTCATCGTCACCTCATGGGAAGAAGCAACGCCCGAGC